GATGGGCAACCGATACGTTTTTTTGATAAAAAATGTGTAGTTTCCAGTTGGACTTATGCCTAGGTCACATTTCCCGGACGGTAGCCGTAGACCGGTGGTAATCGGTGGTATTCCGTGGTGTTAACGATGCCCCAACATCGGTCCATATCGGCCTAGTAGTCCTTAAAGTATCAGTCACATTATCCAGCGATGGGTATACGATGTGCAACCAATGCTTCTTATGATAAAAAATACGTGGATGCCGGCCGGACTTACAAAGGCCAAGAGATGCATTGCTAATCATAAAACGATGTTCCAGGATAATCGACCGATGTATATTACATCGCTCATACAGTGGTTAACATCATTCGTACATCGGTCGACTACGGGCCAGTGTTTGGTCGAACATCGACCGATGATCGGCCGTTATCTGTTGAACACCACTCAACTCCCCGATGACCTCAGATTCAACAGAAACTTGACGATGCTCGGCCATACATCGGTCGATCCTTGAAATATGTGTTAATGATGGGTTGCCGATGAGGAGCGATGTGAGCCGTCGTTGGAGACATCGCTGAATTTTAACTACGAATGATTTCCTACCGATGACCCCACCGATTCGCAAAATGGCCTCAGTCACCGTCCGATCACCAGTGGTGCCCGGTCGGCAACCACGCCATTTTCATAAAAAAACGCATCGGTTTCTTATCGTATACCCCATCGCTGGATAATGTAACTGATACTTTACGAAGGCCCAGCGATGCATTGATAATCATAAAACGATGTTCCAGGGTAATCGGCCGATGTATATTAATTACATTGCTCATATATTGATGAACATCGTTCATACATCGGTCGACTATGGGCCAATGTATGGTCGAACATCGACCGATGATTGGCCGATGTCTGTTGCCAACCACTCAATTCCCCGATGATCTCATATTCAACGGACAATAGACGATACTCGGCCATACATCGGCCAATCCTAGACAGATTTGTCAATGATGGGTTGCCGATGAGGAGCAATGTGAGGCATCGTTGGAGACATCGATGACTTTTAACTACGAATGATTTCCTACCGATGACCCCACCGATTTGCAAAATGGCCTTAGTCACCGTCCGATTACTAGTGGTGTCCGGCCGGCAACCACGCCATTTTCATAAAAAAAAAAAACGGATCGGTTTCTCATCCTATACCCCATCGCTGGATAATGTGACTGATACTTTAGGATACATAAAACAAACAAAATTTTGATGTCTGGATTCGTACCGATACTGGACCATCGTTTATGTAATTACAATGCAATACAAAGCTTTGCACAGCGAGACTGATAAAACATTGCTTTCAACAGTACGATATTTAACTATGGCCATGACATTGTCCAGAAATTTTACTAACATATTTAATTGTGATATCCAAATGCTTTATTTTTCTTGGTTGGCATTCTTAGCAGTATCACAGGGTCTCTTGTTGAACTTGAAGTCTTAACACTCAGAATCCCATGCGCAAATGGTAGGATTTCAGTCCCACCAACTATCCCAATTTTCTTACAAAGGAGAAAAAATGTCAGATTAGATATTTTCTCCAAGTGGGACTTTTTCTCCCACAAATCAGTTAAAATGGGTTTAAACCCAAGGATATTGAAGATAATTTTCAATCCCATCAAGTCATATAAAATATTTTGGATATCACAATTAGAAATGGTAGCAAGAAGTCTCGACAATGTCGTGTCCGGAGTTAAATGTCATACTGTTTATTTATCGTTGGTCCAACAAAATGAACTTTGTTGGACTTGCGTTGATCCATCATATCGATGCTGGCTTGGTTTAATTCAATGTGCAAAATATTAGTTAAAGGCATGAATCATTAAAATTCAAACATCTCTATTCATATGCTAGTACTTTTCCTTTGGCTTGAATTCATCATATTTATAATTCAATCAGTTACTATTTTAGATTTCTGAACAGCGTACTTTTGATTTGTTAGAGAGAGATAGAGAGAGTAGATTTCTTTCATATGACAAGAAAGACTTTTCTATACCCCCCGCTTGAAAAGCAGGAGGGTATATAGTAATCGTTAATTCCGTCCGTCCGTCTGTTACGCTTTTGGGTAACCATCTCTTATCCGCAACTCCTCTCAAACCACTGAATGAAATTTAATGAAACTTTCACAGAATCTTTATTACATATTGCCATTGTGCACCTCCTATTTTACTTTTTGGTGTAACACATATTTTGGGTTTCTAGGCCACAGCAAAACATGGGATGCGAGAGATGTCTTTGAGTGAGCTCATTGCTCACAATACCTCTAGTTTTAGTCAGTAAATTAAACCATTCAATCAATAAAAGAAAGAACCATCATTTTATAATTAGAAATGATAAGAAAAACTTACATTATTCTCAGAAAATTGAAAAAAACGTCTGATGTCTCCGAATTTATGTAATATTCTTGCTGACTAAAAATGAAAATTAAATTATTCAAATCTGAAGTTTACATTTATTTTCATAAAAAGCGATAATTTTAATAATAATACTTCGCGTATATACCATTTTAGTACCGATGATAAGAAATACATGTTCATGGATCTTTAATACATACCTGGCCATTGATTCTACAAGAAATTAAATACTAACCTTTAAAACAAAATGCACACAGTCATATTCATATCCCATTAAGTTTTATCGATGATGTCAGGCATATATATCATATAAGGATTCTTGTGTACAAATTGATAAAATGAATGGTATTAAAATATCTAATTCAACATAAGAAATTTTACATCATTCAATTTATTTTACTTAAGATTGACACTGTTTGAATTTTCTCATACCTTATACGTTTTCCTGAATATTTCCAATAATTGTTTAGCTAAAAGAAATGAAAACGTTTTAACTTTATAAAACTTATAAAACACAATAACTGAAGTTTCTTTGAAACATGATTAAGCTCAATCTGCATATAAAATGATGTTTTAGAATAATGATTATTTAGATTAAGATGAAGAGTTAAAACATACCCCACTAGTGCCTGCGATCTAAAATTGAGCACACTTCCCATCTTTGAAAAAACATTTTTTTCTGATTTTACCTATTATAACAATACTTGGATGGTCTAAGGTCAAACTAACAACTTCCTTACATCGAAAATACAATATGCAATTATTTCATAGAAAAAAAAATATGAATCATCATAATCAATTTCATAATTACTTTTAAGGTTGAAATGACATACGAGTATGTTGGAAGTTTCCGATAATGTGCAAATATAGGTGACATGTTGAAATGGTAACAACTCTAACTGATCATTTGCAATACTTTTCCCGAAAATGGGCTAAAAGTATAAAAATTTCATTAAATCTAATGAAATGTGTCAATATTCAATCCAGCTCATTTTGATGCTTAAAATATTGAATACTTAAACACCCAATTTTATGTTAACGCCCCCAAAATCTACCTGATTCAAGATCAATAATTTACCGCCTGTCAATCATTAAAAAAAACAATAACTTCTGATTTGATTGACAGGTCAGCTACCCGTGCCAACTGATAGTCTGAGTTTGTGTCCTTTGAAAACGATTGCCTGGTCACGCGTCAAACACTTTTATGTAGCCGCCTTGTATACACGGGGGTTTTAAAAAGAATCTTGGTAAAACTTTATTTTAAAAACAGTTGAGAGTAGATAATTAAAACACGACTTCATAAAATATTTGCTTTTAATCTCAACGGCTATATTGTATTTTAAGCGATATGTCGTCCAAGATATCTGCTCTGTACATGTAGAATTTAGACCAGTCCGTGCACAGAAACGCTAATTGCCGATTAAAATTGAAATATGATAAATAAAAAAAGATATTTAGCACAAACGGCACGGATAAAGAAAAATATTTATGCTATGTTTTATCTACGTACATATGAATACAATCTATACCATGTTCCGTTGTAAAGTTCTGAAATGAAAACAGCTGGGAGTTTCGAGATTGTAACTTTTAGTTCGAATTTCCTTACATCTGTCAATATCCAATATTCGAAATTAAAAAGTGAATATATACAGCCATAGATCAATTCTTAAAAGTATAAAAGAAATCTTGCAAACAATAAAAAAAATTAAACACACGAACACCCGGAAATGGTGAATATTTTCGACACTATTGTTGATCAGAACGTAGGCAATATTCCTATCGTGGTACGGTACATAGTATATGTTCACACGACGGATAGGCCTACCTATGAATGGAATATTTTATTATTTTTTTTTATTTTGATATTTACACAAGTTTAATTAAAAAAAGATATGTTTACTTTGTATTTCTACATTGTGTTCTTTTCTTTAATTTGTCATTTTTTTTTAAAATATAAAAACGATATTTCTGTATATAATTTTTTTTCTTCATTATATATCACTGAAAGTATTTTTAAAAAAAAATTTTATTGAAATATTTCAATTATTTCAAGTAGTTTCACTCAAATTTAGACACGAAACACGGAATATTGACCCTAATCAGTAGACACAGACTTCCTGTGTAATGCTACGTGTATATAGATTTTTGACATCTTGGGTATTGGGGGTCTCCAGGTAAATAACACCACTATTACTAAGACCACTCCCCCTCTTCAGGCAACCGTACGGTAAAAAAATTGGGTCTTTAAATCTGGTTCAACAAATAAAAATATTGAAAATTGTTTCTAAATACATGAAATGTTTCATTCATAATGAATACATACAAGAAGCAATAAAAAATGCGTTTTCATTTATAAAAATTATATGGGAGACGAGTGTACCTATAATACAAAGTATATCTCAAATGCTGGTTAAAATAAGTGTGAATTTTCTGTTGAGATTAAAACTTCATTTATAGCCCATTGGAAAAGTACCCATATTATAAATTATTGTATTTTTCAAAAATATGTTATCAAAAGAGACTGAATGTGTGATAAACTTTGACCTTGGAATATGTTATAAATAATGTTCAATTGAGGAATTATTCAATGACAAGTAGTCCAAGTTTGTTTCCTATAGCTACATGTACTTGCCCGTTGAAATTCCTTCTGCAATCTTGTTTGGTTTTCATTGCTTACATCTTCTTGTTGACTTGCGTTAGATGATCTTCGATAGAGAAAGAAAATCATATCTATTTATCGCTTGAAGATGCATAACATTTAATAAGAATAACATACAATTTACATTTATTACATACCAAAGCGATTATGAAACCGCAGTTTTTATTTAAAAATTACTAACATAGAACTACTTGGGTTCTCAAATGATAAACCACTTGTTTGACTGGAATTTGGACTGGATCGTTGCCTTCTTTCCTCAGAGTTTAGGGCCTGTATAATAGATAAAATTTCTATAAATTTCATGTGATTATACGTGATATATATGAGATACGTGGTTATTTTCTCTTTTGAGTTATATTTATTTCGGATAACCATGTTGTTATTGTAAATAAAAAACTCCCCGACTTAGAAAATATAGTATAATTATAAAATATATGATAAAATTCTAAAAGTTAATTAATGTTCTACAAACCATTTCAAATGTTGTAACTTAACTAGAAACGCAAGTAGAAATGTTGAATTTCCAGATACTGTAACACTTAATTTATTCTCATGAATTTTGTTTATCATTTGACATATCTGATCTCTAATTATTTTTGCGAGACTGACTGTATCGTGAATGGCAAAGAAGTTTTAATCCCATCTGAATGTTTTTGCTAAATATAGTAATAATAGAAATATAGGAAATAAAGATAATACAATTATTTAATGCCTAATATAATTTCTTTTAGAAACTCACTACAAAATCAATCTGCATTAATTAATTTTACGAGGAAAAAGGAAAACATAAGGGAAAAAAACCTTCAAAACATATACAGTAAATTTTGTACATTTTTTTTTTCAAATGTGCTTTAAATATTCATCAATGAGATTTATGATTATAATTTTTAAAAAAATATGTTAATTTAATTTTGGTTTCTACTCTTTCTCGTATAGTTAAGAAGAATACAGAGTTTTATATTTCAATCTTTATTTTATCTCCATGTTGACAAAGTTATTACCATTTTACCTTGACTCTTATTTATTTTTGCAACACACTTGGATTGATGGATATTGATAACATTGACTACACAAAATCTGCTTGTTACTATTGAATAGCGTATTTGTGACACTGAAATAAATTTAAAGTAAAAAATGATATAACATTTGTGAATGTAATAAAAAAGGTCTCAATATCCCAGAAACACGTTCGTTTTTCTTGGAAAAACAATGTATTATCCAGGTTTAATAGAGAAAAATTATGAGATAAAAAGATAGAAACTCATCACCAATTCCAATTTTGATAATATAATTTGAAAGATAAATTCTCCTCTTAGATATAGAAATTAACCTTGTTTAAGATCAGTTGGATTTTCTTTCCACTTGTGGGGCTACTTCCTGGTTCTGAAGAAACGTATTGATTGGTTCCAATTGTGACCAAATATAAATATGCTTGATTGAATTTTAATAAAGCCTTTTTCACATAACCTTTAAAGACTATCATTAACATGTACGAAGGCATTACGCAATCAGCCTTTCGTACAATGCAAGCAGCCGTTTAAAAATCAATGTCTTGTGACTAATTGGTAAATTTAAATACTCAGGCAATGACATTTACGCTTTTTAGTACAAGTCTGAGTAAAAATATATTATGTACATATAGTAAACACAACACCAGTTATACCTTTTAAAAACTTGTTCCTATACAAATGTATACCAAAAAGTCTAACATTTCTAACGTTTTTCTTGAGTGGGTATAAAAAAAAAATATGTTCGACCGCTGAATGAGATGTTGGACTGGTCGATGAGATGTTGGACCGCTTACGTCACAGAATGAGAGGAGCTTGATGAAATTTTTCATTTCCGGGTCTTCAAAAATGACGAACCTGGGGTAACATTACGGAAGACAGTACAAAAAGTATGAATGTCCAAAACATTGAAGTGAAAGGTATAACAGCACACTTATTGACGATGTTCTCGGACAAAATGCGTTTTGTCGAACCTCGAACCAAACTCTTTGCCTTCAGCCTAACGGCCTCGGGCAGATAGTTTGGTTCTTGGCTCCGACAAAACTCATGTTGCCTAGAACTTAGTCAATAAATATGCATGTATACTGTTATTTAAACAATGACGTTTATATGGTACATGTAGATAACCTTTGATTCATTATAATTTTAACTTGACAAAATAGAGAATTAATATTAATCTACTTTTCCAGATTCTTATAAAACATTTCCGATTTCAGTGGAAAATGTTAAAATGTTTTTAATGTTCTTCTAATATATTTGATTAACGCATACTATCAATTTAGGATCTAATAGATAAAAATTTCATATCTGTCTTATTTTTTTATTTCATGATACGATCTATCGATAGGCTGAATAATTTGCAGAAACGCTGAAAGCCGTTTATGCATAAAACTATCAGGCAGGTCAATCGATTGATCATCGTAATGAAATCGAAACATAAGACATATATTCCTTAAAATTCCTACAAGTCTCGCTTTTGTCTCTATTTGTCCCGCCCTGCACGTGATTTTTTTCTAAACGCGCCTATCGATGAACTAGGACACTGATGAGGAAATGAAGTACATGTAAATTAGCCATTTGTAATTTGTAATTTTATCTCAGACAAAAACATTGGAAATCAAAATACTTGGATGGGTGGATCCAAGTTGCAATTGGATTGTGGCGTTTATTTTCTTTTTACCCACCCTTTTTTGATGACAGGCATATCAGTGCCTGCTTTATGATGTTTGTAATTTTAGGGGGTCAGATTGCATAATATGTTACCAAAGATTTTTGTATTCTTTCAAAGTTTGTTCTAGTCTTGTCTGGCCCCCTTATAATATGTTTATATTTTGTTTTGCGTCATTTACTTCAATAAATGACAATTTTTCACTTTCACTACTGTTATTTTAATTTTAATCCATCAAAATACTAGCTCAGTTGACTTGGCTTCGGTCTTGCATAATAACAGAGGAACATAAATAAGTTATTATTATTACAATAATAATATCCTTTATGTGACAGAGTTATATTAACTATAATTATTTTATTTGTTATAATTTATTTCTAAGGTATCAGGTTTTACTTGGTAATTGTAAAGTTGTTTCATGTTTATAACTTTTTAGATCGGGATCAATTACCTAATTTTAATCTATGACACCATTGTCTTAATTTACAGCCAATCAGCGTGGCTTCTCCTAATCACGTGACCATTGTTTTATTTTTTACCAAAGGAGAAAGCCACACAAATTTACAAGTAAATTTTTTTATCGAAAAACCCTCCATCCATCCCCCTCTCTTCCACCGTCTTATATTATATTTATTATATATGTACTTATATTAGTGTTCATATTTATTTGTTTGGCGTTTATTTTCTTTTTACCCACCCGTTTTTGATGACAGGCATATCAGTGCCTGCTTTATGATGTATGTAATTTTAGGGGGTCAGATTGCATAATATGTTACCAAAGATTTTTGTATTCTTTCAAAGTTTGTTCTAGTCTTGTCTGACCCCCTTATAATATGTTTATATTTTGTTTTGCGTCATTTACTTCAATAAATGACAATTTTTCACTTTCACTACTGTTGTTATTTTAATTTTAATCCATCAAAATACTAGCTCAGTTGACTTGGCTTCGGTCTTGCATAATAACAGAGGAACATAAATATAAATTATTATTTATAATATTAGTAACTGATTATACACTTGCTTTGAAAAAAAATTAGTTCCATTAACCACCAATAAACACAACATTATTACAAATGTTTAGAATAATTATGATTATTTAATCTTTTAATACGTTTAAAATATGAACGTGGAGAAATTTTAAAGATTTTAAGAGAAAGGGAGAGAGAATCAGAACCCTTTGAGGTTGATCGGTTGGATAATTTTTTTGACAAATAATATTTTTATTGTGTGCTCTATTTGTTAATATTAAAAAGCACAAAGAAATCGTATTTTTATTCGGATACCTATTTCTGCCCCGTCAGTGGATTACTTTTTGACTAACATAATTTGTCACTGAATGTGAAAAAAAGAACCCGGGCAACGTAGGTATCCTTACTGAATGTGATTTAGGTTCCTTAGTTCTCCTGCCAAACGAATGAGCATGTTTTTGTTAAATGCAGGCAAAAACAAATAACATCATCAATGTAGAAGTGAAATATGTCATTTATTAAAGTAAATGACGGATAAGTACAATACATTTAACAAATTGGAGGTCAGAAAAGGGGGGAATCAGATATAGTGTATTACACATCTTAATATGAAAACCTGCAGCCCTTTTTACAAAAAAAAATCTTTAGACTAAGATTAAAATTTCACCTCACAATTATTTTTATTATTGAATAAAGATATTTTATCTAAACAATTACTTAAAATTTAATCATAAAATATTAATTCAACGTCATAATAAAACAAGATTTTTGCAGCATAAATATTTGTTGTTCAGTGGAGGTAAAGTTTAGTCTTAGTCGGAAGATTTTTTGTGAAAAGGGCTACTGAAGTCTGCAGCAATATTGAGAGGTACACAAAATGAATGTCAGACTAATTCTTAGTAACCTAATACATGGTATTGCCATTTATTACAATGTACTAAAATTTTACTTGTTCAGATAGAGCATGCGCTAGAGAATGAATATTAAAATCTCTTTAACCCATTCGAACACAACCAAAAGAAATGGGTAAAACATAACAACAAAAAATGTCAACCTAAAAGAATAAACAGGCATTAATTGGTGGCAGATGGGGTGGCAGGTGGGTTTCGAAAAATTCAGCAGTTCAATTAATTATACATTCTCTTTTGGTAAACGGATCAGTTATGGTCACGTGATGGATAAAAACTTCGCTGATTGTTTGAACACATATTTGGGCATAGGAAAAGGGTAAAATTAGTTTAATAAAATGAAGGGTATAGCTGCTTAGTATAAGGCTAAGTATAATACAGACACTGTTATATAAAAACATTCATAAACAAGAAAATGACACTTAAATGAAATCATTTGCAATAATTACTATTTGATATAATTTATCATTAAAATATAGATCGAATTAATTCTGTTGGCAGGGATTCTTTTTTTACGTGGATATTTTGTTTTACTTATTATTAATATTTAGGCGATTAAAAGATAAAAAAAATAAATGAATTTTAAAAAATAAGATATTTTTAAGACAGTTAACATGTATATATCTAATTATCAATTTGCAGTAAAAATTTTGACTTTCAGAGTAGACCACTGTATTTCAACATTAAAATTTATTCATAAAATAATTAATAGTTATTTACGTACCATTTTGTAAAGCAATATAATGGCATAGACCTCCTTAAATTCTGGATACGTTAATGTGAAATTTTTGAGAATATCTTTGAACGTCTCGAATCGAAATTAACTTGATAGGTTTTCCAGTGAGACTGTCTGAATAATAATTGTTTGAATCATTAAATAGTCATAGTTTGGTCTTTAACCCTTTGGCAGAGTGAGCCTATTGTATCAATGTGTTAAAGATAACTGGCATTGATTTAAACAATATTTGTTTAAAATCCTTAAATGTTGGACAACAGGCATACAATGTCTGTAAATGCCTTCTCTATACAAGAACTCAAGGTTTCAAACACATAGACTGAATAGATATATTTCATTACAATGCGGCTGAATACACACACTCTCAGACATCCTTTCGCATACATGAACTCATGGGTCTCTTCACAGAGGTTTGTTCCCATCTCGCCTTAACTGTAAAATTTAGCGTTCCCATTTCGCCTTAGTGAGCTCTCAGGTGAATAAAGGTGATGAAGATTGACTATATGTAGCATACAGTATTTTTTAAAAAATACTTGGTAAAATACATGTATTATTTCATTCATTATACTGAACTGTTAAATTCAATATAAAAATTTTTATCATTTATATTTTTATATCAAACCAGTGATGATATTTACAAATACTAAAATTCCCATTTCGCCTTAGTACTTTTTAACTTTTTCTTACCTGAATTTCACAATTAAGGCGAAATGGGAACACACCTTCACAGATCGCGCAGATCGAAAATTAAAACCCCACGAAAATCAATCAGTGATTTCACAGTAACTCATACCTCATTGTTTATTTCTTTGTATGCTGTACGTTGGACAATTTATAGAACAGTATTCGGTATTTTCATTATGGTAATCATGCCAAAAACATGATGCATTAACTAATATTTACAGTATATATGGTTTTTAAGCAAGCATTAAAGTAACTACAAGCGTAGGTTTATTATCCTGTTGGCAGTGAAGTATATATTTTTTTTCTCTTATTTAAGTTGAAATATTTATATTTGTTAAATGGTCGTTTAATATTTAATTTTGATTTAAAATAACAAAGAAGGGAAATGTTTTAACATTGGGTCTACCGGGGTAGCTATAGGAACAAAAATGAAGTTAGGAAGTCCACAAAGACAATGATTATTTGATGCAATGAAAAGACTAAACTCTAAGAATACATGTATTTGATTGCAGCTGCATCCTTTATTACGCACTAGTGGTACTTTAGATAAAAATAATATGGAATCCATATTGGAAAGCATATATTTATAAACAGAGGTGGGTTACAGCAAACGTTTTGAAATAAAATTACTTTAAAAGTTATATGTAATAATCATGTACACTCAATCCGCCAGACAAATGTTATTATGCCGTTGGTCAAAAATAAATTGGGGGCAACGCAACTCTGAGTACGGCCTGGCAATAATTAGGTGAGTAGGATTTGCTTTCGCACATTTTTACCCTATTTCTTTGTTTATATATGTAATATTATTCATTAATACACAAAAATAAAACTTTTCTTAAGTATTAAGGGTAAAGTTGAAACTGTGAAAGTGAAAGTGCAAGGATGAGTTAATCAAACTCCTCCAGAAATTCGAAGTTTTAATAGTTTCCAGATATGAAAAAAAAATGATTTAATTGCGTGTAAAATTTTATAGCAGTATACTTGTACAAGTCGTAATATTATGAGAAAATATTAACTTCAAACCTACATGTATGTCTAAGCACCTTTAATAAATCTGGATAATGAAATAATGCATTTTCCAAACAATTTCATTTTTTTAATTCTCTATATTCAAAATGTGCCCCCCCCCCCCCAAAAAAAAATATAAGGCTGTAGAGTATTTGTTCTTATAGTTTCTTCCTGGTTAACATGCACCTAGTTTAAATCTATCCACGTATTGTTAAAAGAATTCCCATGTCATATGATTCAAAGGATCTATGAAATGAGATTACTTTATTTAGGGACTTCATCGATTAATACTTTGCTTTAAATTTGAATCATGTTGATCTTTACACAGAACATTCAATAAGTGCAAATATCAGTTCATTGTGCAAACGTCATAACGTCAGACAGTCTTTAGAAACTGTCCTCTTGTGATTTACTGATGAAATCATCATGACATAATAGTATTTTAGAGACAATTCAAAGAGAAATACCCACAGCTAAGTCGAACTTAGGAAACCACATACGATTTTTCAATAATTGAATTAAAAAATGTGTGTAGATGTAAATATAACAAGTATTTCATCTCAAGTTCCCCAGGATATATCATATTATATTATATTGTTGGAAGATTTGTTCTCCAAAAATGACAAAGATATTGTCATTCAGAAACTCAGGCATTTTTTTATGTTAACTTCAGAGTACTTGTGTGTACAATCAAAACGTTCTTAAACAAAATGATTTTGCAAATGAACAATGACAAGGTACATGTGAGTAAATTTAAGAGTTTCATTTTTATTGAAAAAGCAGCTATCATCAATGATATCAAAAAGCCTAGACTTTAATTTATCGTGGGGGAATGGTTGTGTATAAAGTTGATAAGTCTTAAGTTTTTAAGCTATTGATTTTGATGAAATCTTGTGATTTCAAATTGTCCAAAAATTCCTTGAGATGCGGAAAAGAGGTGGAAATCCCAAACAGTAAGGGACGGATAGACATATAGAGGGACACCCCCATTTGCAGTAACTGTTCACGTACCCATCAGTCATACGTAAATGTTTATAAAATATATTATAATTGGTTAGAAATAAACATATGCATATGCCTAACTTTTTTTGTTGTTTATTATTTTCTCCCTAACACTGAGATTCCGGGCCTTGTTGGTGCATTTTTTATATTATCGAGTACTTTGCAAGATCTACAAACGTATAATTTTTGCTATTTTTTATTCATTAAACAGAACACTAGTTTTGAAAAGAGAAAATGCTATTATATATTTTCCAATTCCATTTTTTGAAATATATTTTTAAAATGTTTTAAGAACATAAAATAACTTTAAACATAAATTGAAAGATATCATTCTAGCAAAGTCTTGGTAAGTAATTTTCACATCCATTTTAATATATAGATGATTAGGACATTTGAAAGCCATTTTCGACGATTTATACCTGATATTGTTTTGCACGTTTAAGTCATCAAGTATTATAAGGCAATATTTTAGAGACAATCATTATGCCAATTTATGTACATTCTCTACTTTTACATGTAAATGTCACAATGATAAACCAATTTTTAGCATATTTGTTATATAGTTCTTCGCAACAAGTATAATTTTAATGTTTATTTGCCTTTTAGTCTTCATAAAATTCAGTTTATATACAAATAAATTATTTTATTTGGAACTAATCCTGAAGAACGAGTATTTGGCTAGACATGCTTAGCGCATAGTATGTTCTATTTGCTTATATTTTTAATTTGATAAAAGGAACAAACATGTACTTTTGATAAGGAAATTATCGTTCTCACTTAAATATTAACAATCCTCAAGTTCCAGTTGAAGTTGGTCGATGCAAAATTAAAGGTTGACTATTGTTTTCATACATATTGAAATCTTACGCCATAATTTGCACACTGCATGATTTGGTTTTTGAGGACTTTTTTACCATTATGCCATGGAACACCCTGGCTGTTACCTTAATATAGCAAAGGATGCTTACTTCTTCCTGGCATATGCTTCTTTCTCCCTTGTATAGAGGTTTGCATTTGCTCTCATCCGAGTTAGAATCATTCAAAGGGCATTTTTGATCCTGAAACCTGTTTGATATCTTCATATTTCTTTCATATTCAGAGAACTTGGCTTTTTAGGTCTTATTCAATATTTCAGGACATATTTGGCGAGATTAAAATTATATTTATATGTGTAATAAAAGACTGAATAATTATGTGCACAAAATATCTCGAATTTAATTTATTTTATTGAAATTACAAAATCACTATTATTTCTTTTATGAAAATTAATACCATTTACCAAAACCCTTGGCAGATGAATTCAGAAGGATATCTATCATATGATACATAATTGAAACAAACTGACTTGATAAGTTCGTTTTTAAAAGTTTCAAGAATCTTCAACAAAATTGAACGGCTACTTTACACCAAAATTCTTAGTTACACAGAACGAATGGCAACATCTCATTTCAAATATGCGATTAAAGTTCTTTGTACGAACCTATCTTATGTCCTTTTTACATTCATAGTAAAATATTCAAAATACCTATGACAGCAGAGAAAGCGACCAATCCAGCGTTCCAACTGCATTAATAATAAATGTACAATAAGCTAAAATAAGTTGCTTATAGAGCGCAGATCCATAAGCAGTGATAAGAGCCTTTAGTTACATTTTTTTATCATAGAGTAATTTTTGTTGTTCGAATTGTCTACAGAAAAGTTTTTTTTTTATATTTTAATATTTCCTTAAATAAAATATATTTAGCTCTCGATCTTAATACTTCTTGCGTATTTGTGTCATTAGCATCCGAGCTTTTCTTTCAGAATTAAAAAAATCTGTGACAATTAGCGAAAATAAAAAAATATTAATATACCGGCGGTAATAGTGTGAGGTATAATGTGAGGTATATAATATTAAAAAAAAATGTTAATTATTATAGAAAAACTCACCATTTCCCTGAAATTGTTGTAAATAGATTTACAGATCCACTTAAATGTTTAACTTTAAAATACAACATAGATATCCTTGAATTCCATTTCTCTAACGATAAATTTTTTTTATCCTTATGTGGAAACGTGACTTTTCAAGGACTTTTTTTTTTGAGGTTCCTGAAAGATTTGAGGAATTGAACTTCTGTAATTCAATACGAGACGAAGATCGCAGATCTTTGTATTGTATGTTAAGACATTTAAAAACCAATCAGAAATATAAAACATAAAAAGTTAGTAGCTAAAATTATTCTTACTTTTTTCAATGAAGGAAGATAATTAATGCGATTGTTATTAATTTGTTAGCTTTATTTTTAAACCGATGTTTTATTTGTTGTTATAGAAGAGTATAGTTGAATGCATTGAAAGCATAAGACTTTCTCCATGATTAATCTAAACTCTTTGTTTAAATTATAAACTTTAAAAACTCGATATCAATGTTCTATAAGCATTAATAATTTATATTTATAGTGTATAAGGAGTTTGGACTCGTTTGTTTAATTACAAATTTAAAATCTTATTTCCAAAAAGTTATCACTTTACTTGAATGTTTTAAAAATTTAAAGACAAAAGCGTTCTTCATAACATTACGCGTAACATCAGAGTTTTAATAAAAATATTGTCGCTAGTAATTGTAATTGAATATGAGGCACCTGTAGCCCCAATTCCAGATCTTTCAAAACAAAACAATACATTTAACGAATAATTATAAATGTATTGGACAGTAGGTACAAATTGAATCATCTCCATAATCTGCATTTTTCCCCCCCAAATGCTGTTTCCCTTTTGGTTTTTTATTTCTATTTGCGGAGAGGTGTTAAAAATTAAATTAAAAAAAACAAACAAAAGGATTTCTAACAATTTAAGATATGGATTATTATTGAAGAAAGAAGTTGGGAAATCTACCCGATTACTGTAAATTGGAAAAATCACGATGGTTTTGATTTCACTCTGTTCGCGATTTATCATTTCCCCACGAAATTAAACCCATAGTAAATGCTATAAATAGTTTAAAATACGTTTAAATGCTTATACAAAATTTGATTTAATTTCTTGCAGCGTGAAATTAAAACTATTGCAATTGGTACTTTTTGAGAAATCGTAAAATTTTAACAATTTTGAATTAAAGATGTATTCTTCTGATACCCTAAAAAAACGTGCATTAAACTTTCCAAATGCTTATATTTTTCTGAAAGTGTAATATCCAAGGACTAATTTAAAGACAAGAAAAGTGTATGTTAGTGTTCATCTAAGAGAGATTCAACCCCTCAAACATAGGCCAAAATAGAGCATGGAAAATTTCATTAAAATAGCTATTAGACCATAAAAATACCTCATAAACTTATAAATACAATTAATTTAACATAATTTGGCTTAAATTTACTTGAAAGTATTGCAAAGTTAATTTTTTAAGCAAAATATGAGCAAAAAAACACAAATTAGATAACTTGTACCCAAAAATGTTGATAGTTAACCATGTAAATCATAAAAACTTTTAAAAATTGTTTGTGAATTGTTATCAGTTTGAATTTTACGACATGTCTAAGTACGAAGACCCACTTGGGGTAAAATGATCAGAAGAATTCATCCTTAAAGGGACTTACAGTTTTTCAATCATTTATAAACTTTATGAGAAGAAAGAGAGAAAAGGTGGGTTTTAATATGTGTTAAAGAAATGTTTCGTTGATAGTTCAACGCTGTTCGCGATTGTTTTATTTTTGCGGAAAATTCTTTTATCGCGTACAAAGTGAAATTTAAAAGACCACAATCACGTGTTCCAATTGTACAAAAATTACTTGATGCTGTTAAACAATATATTAACAGCTTGCAATAGCCCCATTCTAAAAAAAAAAAAACCCAAAATGTATTTGTGAAACACTATGTGCCCCTCGGCAACAAATTTTGAAAAAGCTATTTTTAGCATATAGGTCAAAGTCAAGGTCACATGGTCATAGACATTTGTGTCATTTGAAAGAGCAAATACGAATATACCAAAATAACAAATATTATGGCTCTATCTCTCATCGTTCAAAAATTATGGCGAAGGTTTAAGTTGACAACAGAGAGACCATCTAACGGACAAACAGACAGGACAAAAACAGTATATGCCCCGAATCTGTTTATCCGGGAGCATAATAACTTCTCGTTACAGCTACATATTTAGCGTAACATGCTAAATTGCAGAGGTTTCTTTTGAAAAGTTATTACCATGCTGAAAATATCAATGCTATCTTTAAAAAGTAAAACCACAAATATGATTAATTAAATGACCATGAAATCAAATTTTTATATGATCCTTCAGTCACAGAACGATGTTAAAAATTAAAGATGAATTTATTTATGAATTAAATTAGAATAAAAAACAATTTATTATAAGAGTAAATCGATTAAAATACACATTGCATATACATATATTCACAATATAATTCTATACAACGACCATTCTACTCAAAAGGCGAAGGATTAATTTAACTGTTGCAGACTTGATTTAACAAGATCGTCTCAGCGTCCATCTATGGTTGTGTACGACGACCTCTTTGCTATTTCAGTGATCATAGAAACCCCAGCAAAAGCCGAGAAGACAATGGAAACTGCACATAAATCAAATGAAAAGCCAAAGTGGAAGATGCTGCTGTCCGTTACCAATTTATCGTAATTTTCTGCAAACACTGCCACAGAGACAATGATGTTCACAGCTGCAATAAAATTGCACATGGGTAAAAAAAAAATCAGACTTGTAATGATTCAACTTTCAAAATTGCCTACAAGTGACTCAGACTCAGTTATAGAATTAAAACTTAAGAATCATAAGGTAAATTTCGAAAATGTGGAACCGCATAATATGCTTTACAAGAGTCGGAGTCAGTTGTAATAACATTACTGCAATATTAAACACGGACATCTTTTTTAAAATAAAACTTTTTAATGATGCTTTCAAAAATCTACAGTCATGTTATTCAAGAAGTTTAGATGTCTGCTTTTGATTTCCAAACATAAACATACCATTTATAAAGGACAGTATGATAGCAGCGATCAGTACAGAGACTCTGTCCTTCATACAAATCTTGAGTACGGCAAAAATAAAGGCAATGATTGAAATGATAATCGCAAGTACTCCAAATCCTCGAACTGCTTCGAGCCAACCTACAGCAAGGAAATTTCTTAATGATAAAACCTTATCTTTACTGTTTGAATTTCAGTTTTGTTGAAGAAAGAAAATTCACCATGTGGAAAGTAAAGATATAGACTAGTAATGAAACAAAAAATACACGTACCTTAAATTACACTCAAAAATATTTCTTTTTATTCTTTTAATTCTTCGCTTTATAAAATGATACACGCACGTGAATATTGAACTAAATCAAATCATATAACTGTATTGAGAGCTATTCGTATAGGCTGCAAGACCATTAACTGAGAACATACTTAAATCAAAATTTTAAACCGATGTAACTTTTGAAATGTGTTGATAGGAAACTAAATTTTCATCATTTGTCTGAATTTAAATTTTCAACGAAAATCTTTTTTATTTTTTTTTTTGTTTTTTGTTTTTTTTGGCAAATTCATTGATTAAAACTTGAGATAACAATCAAAATTTTTACTTAAGTTTGGTCTGTTTTATTGTCTTTGGGGCCAATTAAGTGCTTATCTGTACCTGGAACTTTCTTATATTCAAGGCAAGAGGAAGCTTCGACGCCTGATACTGTTTCAGTAGCACAAACTGCCCAGAGACCTAAATAGATTTTCGCTCCACTCTTCTCACCATGAATCAAAATTGGTGTAGCCACACCTATTATGACCAAAATAAGTTCCACAGGCAGGAATAAGAAACAAATACGTAGAACTTGGAATTGTCTCCACATGCCATTTAAATCACTTACGGAAGATCTGTGAGAAAGTGAGAAAGTGATTTTACTTAAGCATTGAATTCATATTTTGGGATGTCTTCGGTCCAGACCTATAACACACCTGACCGTGGCGACAAATTGAAAACCGAGCATTGGCGCAGTATTATAATTTGTCGGCACGGCTAGGTGTGTAATAGGATTGAAGACATCCCAAAATATTAATTCAATGCTTATATTTACATTCTTTAATTTTTTCTCTTCATAATTGTATATTTTTAATTTGTATTAAGCACCCTTCAAAACTGGTGTGCTTTATTGATGTAAGAGCTCTTTTTGACATTTGTGACGTTGCAAAGTTTAATTACACAGACGAACATTGCGAGGAAAAAAAGTGACAAATTAATTTTAATCGCACATTTATATTTTTAAGTTAAGAGCAAGAACCACTTTGGACCTTATTTGGCCCCGAGATCTAGAATTTCTTAAAAATCAAAACCGATCAGTTGAGGTTGCAAATGCAGTATTTATTACTTGGAGTGTTAGTGACCACGTATCTGTTAATCTTGACGTTATTTCCCATTTAGTCAATGCATAATGCGCATTATGACATTCCTCACGTCATGTAAATTCCTTTGAAAATGAATTAAAGTGGAATCATTTGTTCAATATTTCATATAGAGCTCTACCTCTGATAGAAAATGTACGCACCAAGTGTCTACTTTATTTTGATATATGACATGGGAAAGAGGGTGATAGTTAATTAATTGATATAAGTACAGGACCATTTAATGCATAAGATGGCTCTTGCACTTTAACAGAGTTAATTTTTTAAAATTAAATTGTGTCAAAACAATGTACATTTTGGTTTTCCTAGAGTATTTAAAATGATATAGTTCCTACTGTGTATTCTCCTTTCGAAACTTAACTTCCTTATTCGAAATATATTTTAAAGAATTCGTCATATAAACTGTTTATAATACAGAATTCTTTTTAAATAAGTAACTTCCCCTATATTTTAAAACTTATCTAAATCAATGGATCAAGGAGAAATCATGCCTTGCTATTTGATAAAATTAATTCTCACAAGAGCTAAAACAGTCTATTTCAAATCATGTAACAATCTTATGACAGTTTAATTTTAAATGCTAACTGGGAGATTCGGAAATTCTATTCGAGAAATCCACTTCTCTTTCTCACACTATATTATTTTTTGGCGAAAAGACAATACAGTGGTAATATGAGCAGATTGTAGTAGTATCAATATAAGAAAATAGGAAGAAAAAGTATTATTAAAAATAATGATACCAATTAATTGGATCGTACAATCATGTAGAATCGTCTTTCTTTAATGGCCATGTTGCCGAAAATAGGTCTAAATCTGAAGCTCTTTACTAATATGCGACGACTCTAAATTAATGGTAACTTTTCGAAAGAGACGTAAGACTAAACTAAATTGAAAAAGGATTTTTCCATGATTTTCCAATCTCTACAAGGTGCACAAGACGGAAGTGACCTGTCGGCAGGGGATGCTTACTCCTCCATCGCACCTGATCTCACCTCTGAATTTAGGAAGTCCGTGTTTGTTCTGCTCCTTTTTTGTTGTTTGGACGCTTGACCGTGAATGCTGTTCTTTTTCTCCAAATGTTCCAATCAATCAATTGAACTTAAATTCCTGTACTAGGTTGAAATATTTAGAGATAACTGTAACAATTATATTCAAGCTCAAAGTCTTGTTAACAATAAAATCAGGAACAGAGCAAACACGGAGCAAACATCAGATCTGTAGTGGGATCAGGTTCACTGGAGGAGTGATCATTCCTTGCTGGCCGGTTACACACACCTTGTGCTCCTTAAAATGATACCCCAAAACAAACTTAAAATAGGCAAATTATTACTGAGATCATTGAAAAGGTATCAATTTTTAACTTGCTGAGAACTACTGATATATAGTATTACTCTTTTATTATATGGTATTGTTCAGTGTGAAGCATTCTAAGTTTAACATTTTGATAAAGCCTTTTATATCAAATGCTTTAATCACTAATGGTATGACCATTGTACGCCCATTTGTTACGCTTTGGAGTACCATTTTATCCGCAACTCTTCCTATACCACTGAATATTTAATGATACATTCCCATTTAATTACATAATGCCATTGTGCACTTCATATTTAACTTTTTGATCTGACACTCATTTTCGGATCTCATACTGCATATTTGAGAGCAAAACATGGACTTTGCCATTACGATAATATGGGAGACAGGGGTTTTAAAGAACTCCCCCCCCTGAAATACAGTATACGCCATTTGTATTCAATATTAGGTTCATAAATAAATGTTAATGAATAGAGATAATATCCTCATAAGGGGAAGGGAGTGGAGTAGCGGCATATATTTCCAAAGTATTTATACCTGCTACAAGACTGTACTTCTAATTAAATGTCAGTAGAATATATATCAGGTACGTATATATTTTTGGTTTTATGTGTCACCAGTAATAAAAATTAAAATTCTTGGCGCTTGCGTCGGATTTCATCTAGTTTACATCTTAATTTTAAATAAAACAATTAAAGAATTAATTGAAAAAAGAACAATTAAAAAACAGATTACCTTTTCAAAGTGTAATTTTCCGCACGAATTTGAGTTTAACCCCTTCTCTACCGCATCGGTCAATATGACCGATAGCGCGTTAAAACACGACATCGCGATAACAGGACCTCTGTATATTTTTATTAATAGCATTAAGGTATATAAATTATATATCATCTTTTAGGAAATTTTCTCTACTTTCAGACCCTGTAAAAATTTCGAGCCTTATTAATCGGTAATGAATAGATTTTACGTTCTGAAGACATTCATGACTTTTTTAAAATGACGCAATTTTCCAAAGCAATGACGAATATTCTGACGATAGGTATATTTTTTCCTGATTAAATCATTTAAATAAAATTAATACATTTAAAAAGGATATTTTCTCTGCTTTTAAAATATGTAAAAATGATTGCTTTTACTTTTAAATATTTTGTAAAAACAAGAATTTTCTTCCACGCATGTGATTTTTCTGGGTTTTATTCGTGATTTTTAAATTAAACGCAGTTTTACCTTGATTTCTGTGTTGAAATAGGTTCTGTTATAGTATCAGTGAGGGTGAATTTTTATAAAGGGTAGTTTTAGCTTAAATTTTGGATTTTTCAGTTGTAATACTTTGAAAATATATCATAGAAAAATATTTTTTTAAAAAAAGTCAAAGAATCCTTGGGGTACGGAACACGGGAGGGGTCCTGTCCCCAAGCACCTGTGCATACGCTTTAGCAATCAATTGGAAAGCCCTGCAAGCTCACAGAATCCGTGATTACATCAAACGTTTCTTATAAGAACAACTTCAGCAACATAGTTATAAATACTTATAATACAGTTGTAGATAAGCAACTTTTTTCAGAGAAGACTGAGCACTGCTCGAAATCTGTGCTCTCCTGTAAAAGAATACACAATGTGGTTAAACAGTCAGTATTATTATTCAGGGTGACAAAAAAGGTGAAAATGGTTATAGTCTCTTTCCAACATTTTATAATTTCGTTTTGTTTTCAATGTGAAAATTCCGTTTCTCTTGATGAATTTAATTTGTTTTGCACTATTGGACTTCCGCATCAATAGTTAATATATTGACAATATTTAAATGGCTTGTTTGTTGTTCCATTTAAAGCACCTCAAAACTAAGTGGTCAGTTTGTCGTGACTTGCCTGACCTAGATTATTTCTACTTTCGTTTTAATGCTTCCGTGTTGTTATGGTGCTTGTAAACATTCATGGTAAGTCCTCATTTTGCACACGTATTAAGGAAATTTTATATGATTAATTTAAGAGTGGCCTGTAAACAATTAAAATGTTTTTATTCAGCTGCTTATCTAGAATATATCAAATCGAGGTTTCAAGATTATTGATCCAGGTACGTTTAAACTACAGGCAAATTATTGTGTGTACATGTGTATAACCCCATCTCCTTCCGATCGAGAATGTTTTTTTGTTACAAAAACGTAGGAAATATTTTATTTCTCGAGATTGTGCTTTACGATGTATAGTTTTTTTCTTACATGTTGGAATAAATAAATTTGTAGAGAAGAAAAAGTTTACGCCAAGATACTTTTGATATAAGAAACTTGGAGATGATAACCGAGACTCGTGCTTGTAGGAATATAGGTCGAGGTTTTGGGTTTATTCGTAGGAGCTTGCTCGCGCCATGTAATAATTATTTATCAAAAATTCATAATTACTAGTATAGGATAGTGCTAAAACTTAACTGTGTAATTTTTGTATTCATTTTACATTTTTTTAAATAAATAATTAAGAAAGTGTGGTCAATTATACAATATTCCAGTTGAATTCATCGAAATAACTAAGTTTTCTGAATATCCGTATTCTCTACAACTACATGTACCTCTATGTAACTTGTTCATGTCAACTCAAATCTGTACGTTTCATAAGCAGATCTAGGGGCAGAGTGATCCGGTCCCCTCCCAACAATAAACTTTTTTGAGTTAATTTATGAATATTCTTAACCACGTTAACCTATGACATGTTACTTTGAAACCCCTACTATTCCCCTCGAATACGCAGATCTGTTGGAATGAAAAGTCATAGATATGAAGTTAGATGTCAACTTCTTCTCCCCTTTCCTCAACAAAGGATTTCTGTTACCGTGATAACAAACAAACCATCATTTCCCTTCTCGGAAAAAATTCTTTCATCAGCACTTGCATTTTGGTTTGATAAAGACAGCTATAGAAAGACAACTCTAGGAGGGACCGCGGGTGGGGGGTTGGTGGTGGTGTGGGGTGTGTGGGGGGGGGGGGGGTTAGGTTGGGTTAGAGAGCTTTGCTATTATGTGCTCATGTCCTCTAAATAAAAACGTCTGATTTCCTTATTTTTATAATTTTTTTCTTATTTTAATTTTATTATTGAATTAGGGGTTATTAATGATAGAACCCCAAACTGAAAATATAAACTGTAATGCTTCAATTCAGTCTAAAAATCGACATATTAATTCATTTATTGATTTTATTTTTAATTATTAGCTGTAATTGAAATATGGCTACAAAATCCACCAAGAAGAGTTTACCGCAGCTACTAAAAACAAAAGCACCAGACTGTAAACAAAAGACTACAGCGCCTGTTCAACAGTAATTCAGTGTTTTTCTTTTTTTCATATCACTCTGCTCTCCCGAAGCAGTGTCTCTACATCATTTTAAGTTAGATTATTATGTCATGTTCTAAATTTTGAATTTACCGGGTGGGAGTAAATACAAAATTTAGATCATGTTCTAAATTTTGTATTTACTCCCACCCGGTAAATTCAAAATTTAGAACATGTCAATTAATTAAAAATGTATTTTCAAGATTTATTGAATTAAGCACAAATATTCTTTTTAAATATACGTAAATATCTAACTTACATGCACCATTTATTATTTCAGTGGAGATGAAACAAATTTCCTCACAGTTCTGTACGACGATCAGCTGAAAAAGTAATTAAAATCGCCTGAAATTCACAGGTTTATTCCATTTGTTATGAAAAAATGCATGTTTTTAGTGATAATAGTTAACATAGGCCCTATGTCTTTTAACTTTGTGTTCTAAGTATGGGATACGTATTAATATTGTAATACATGATATATCCATCATAAAGTTATAATATAAGCTTAACATACTATTTTTATTGTCCGTCTAAAAAAGAAATTGTTTTGAATCCAGTGTTATTTCAACCGCATTCTGATTAATATATCCATAGTTTACAGAACATAAATTTGTGAACAAAAAGAGAATTTTTTTAGAATCTGAATTCAAATGGATGGAGTGGATGAGAATTTAAGTAAAAAACGATGCCCAAATTTTATGAACCTTATGAGGAGTAATATAGTCTGTCACCACTTTATTGATTAATGTGAATAACAAACATAGCATACATTGGCAACGTTTAATTAAATTGACACCGTTTTGTTTATTTCTATACTAGATGTAGCGTTGAAATTGAGGATTTGAAGAAGCAGATTGAGAGGTAATTAATTTAGAACTAATTACATAATTTTATTGATAAATTGATACACGTCAATAGCTATAGCTTCTATAAGATTTAAATGATTAAATATAATTTATTTTGTTTCACACAAGCATATACTATTTCAAAATGATACATGTACAATCTCATATTCTTGTTTTTCTGTACATTTCAGACTTTCTAATGAGAACGTGTCTTTAAAAACCGAGCTTCAACAATTCAAAGATAATGAGCTTCAAAGGCAAGTATAAAGAAAGTTTGGTACAAAAGAAAATTGCTCCTTATATATCTGTAATGAATAATATAAATGCTCTTGTACAATGTACCCTTCAATAAAGAACATGTATGTGTACAGTCTATATCATAAATTGGTCATACGGAAGCATCCTTTTTTCATAAAGTAAGATGGTTAAAAATAGGACTAAATTCAAGTTAACATTATATGATGCATTGCATTATCACATTACAATACTCAGTTTCTGATGTGTACAATGATAAACCTAAGGTAATTCTTTTATATAAAGAAAATAATTATATGATTAAATAATTTCCATCTCTCTGATTGGCTAAAATCCAACTATGTTAGAAAAATATTACGTTGTATTGACCTGCATGTGACGTTCCAGGTCAATACAAGGATTTATTTCCTCTACATTGATCTAAAATAGATTAGAGAATTCCAAATTGAAACAAATTGTTTTAGAAAGCTATTTAAACGACTGTGATTTTTATTTCCAAGTGAACAAAACATAAGCGAATATATGTTTTAGGTGAGAATGGTAAGAGGGGATGACACTTTTACTGAACAACAATGTTTTTTTTTTTACTTTTTGGCAGTCAGTTTCCCCTGATGATACTCCTTCCTTTCAAAATCTATCCTATAAAAAGACTAACATTATATATTTCTTTCATGGCTACTAAAATTAATTTTAAAAAAAAATTAAAATTGATACAACTGGTAAGGTTCATTAACATTTTAATTCTGCTACTCTCATGTATTTGGCAAGGACTAAATAAAATGCAAACAAGTCATGAGCTGTATCATTTTTTTCAGTGAATCATATAATAAAACAATTATTGCTGTTTTTTCGGTAAATACAATGATTTAGCCATCTTCGTAGTACAATATTCACCTCGCCCTTCGGGCTCGGTGAATATTGTACTTCTCAGATGGCTAAATCATTGTATTGACCTCAAAAACCAGCAATAATTGTATAGTATTTACCATCTCCCTACATGTACAAACTGACTAAAATGACCCCATATTAAACTTTTTATAAGACTCAGGAAAGGATTTTTATTCATTCTGGACTATCAAGAGTAACTGTATCTTATACAACAAACTATAGAAGATCTAGCTAGAAAGCAAAGAAATGGAACTAGAAATGTATTTCAAAGCTACAAAGGAAATGAGGTTAGAAAGGTATATCAAGATCTCTATAGTTTGAAATTTATATATATGATTGATCACACTATTATTAGCTATATGAATGTATAAATGAAATCAATATTGTTATATGTTTGATCCTAACAGAACAAACCAAGGTGAAGGGCAAAAGACTGCAAAATTTGCAAAAAAATTCTCTGAACTTTACGACATATTTTGGAAGAATGCTTTCAAGGAGCAAATTGATAAAGAAGGAAAGAGTGAAGAGGATGGAATCAGTTTTCTCCTGGCTATAATAAAGGTAGTATTTAAGTATCCCATACTATGATAAAGGTATTATCTAAAGATTCCGTGACACCCGATCTTTAATTTTGATGTTTTGGAAGTCCATGTTTGCTCTGCTTCTATTTTGTATTGTTTTATGGATTTTCGAGCTTGAATACTGTTCCTTTTTTTAAAAATTTCACCTCCATATCAAGCTTTCTGTTACTTACAGTGTATTACCATGAAGGGGTACTCGTAATATTACTCAATGTAATAAGACAAATTTTGAATAAAAGGTTTAGTTTTCCTGAATTACTACCATAAAGTGTAATTTAAGTAAAGTACATTCTTTCTTCAATAAAGGTACTATCCGAGTCTTACGTACTTTGGCAAAAGCATTGCATTCCTCTTCACAGTAAATCTACTTGTTAAGTATAACTTAATGCAAAGTATGTCTTACATGAACACGTAACTCCGTATCATACTTATCAGGTACTATGCTATCTTATTATATTTAACATCATTAGATGTGGATGTGTAAAATCCATAAGCTTCATGAGTATATGATCAGCGGATGCAATTGTAGAAAAAGATTGTTCAAATTCTTATAGAAAAAAATGGTCATATGTTATACTTACTACAATAAAGATATCATCTTAGTCTTCCTCAATTAATAATAATTAATAAAGGTCCATGTTTGCTCTTAATACATGTACATGTTATTGCAAAAGTTTTGCATTCCTCTGTATACCGGTAGTAAATGAAAGATTCCAGAAAAGAATTGAAAATTATTTTGCTTATTTTAGTAAGATATCTTGTCTTCATCAGTTATGTTCAAGACTTAACACCAAATTTATGCATCTTTGAATAAGATTTAAAGAAATCCATAAGTGTATTTATAAATATGATATACATGTTTATCTAATTGGTATTAATTGATTTTGTCTTCAGGATGCAAATGAGTATGCGAGCAAGGATGTTATTGAGATTCAGAAAATCATGTCAGCATTCAAACTTCCTCCTCTACCAAACGAAGAGGTTTTCTTTTATATCTATTTAACTGTTATTTTTTGCGAGAAACTGAAATATTGCCGATTTGCTAAACTGTCTTTCTCTTAATTTTATATCTTATTGTATGTCTTTGACTGTCTGAAACTTGAACAAAGTCAACGGCTTTAAAAGAATATGGAGTGATAGAATTTTGCATCACAAATACCTTGTAATAGGAAAATTGAACTTGTTTTTATTCATAATTATAACATGTAGGTCAATATTTAGAAAAAAAAAAAGATAAATTGACCTGGAAATGTATTTCTCCAAAAAAATTTAATTTACGAAATGTTAGAAGCTCTCGCAACACATTTCTCACAGAGGCCTTTATGTAATATTAAAAGGTTATGCATTGACTTGTTTCAAAGTAACATTGACAATGTTAAGGTTTCTTTGATTCAAAGCAATCAAATGATATGTTTCATGACAAAAAGTAGAGCCTTTTGTTTGACCAAAAAGAGCTGAGAATATATCAGAATAAAGTCAAAAAAATGTTAGCAATACATGTATAATTATTTTTTCTGACATGATGAATATCACAAGGTGTTCATAAATCCTATGTTTTGAAAAGATCTGTTAAACATTGAAATTGGCATATACAAGTATAAACACTTATTTAAAATGTTTCACTTACAAATATAGATAACGAATGCACTGCATATGAATGTTTACTATAATAATCAAACATTTTCAAAACACTGCTCAGTTATTTGAAAAAAAGTTGATAATCGTGTCTTTAATTGAACCTTTTTAGAAGTTACCTCCAAAGATGGTACACGTGTTTAAAGACGCTGCAAAAAATATGTACAATAATTTCAAAGAACCACTTGCCCACGTCTCCGTTGAGGTATGTTTACTTACATTTATTAATCGTAAATCTGAAGGTGGTGCTTATTATCTCGGCCTTTAACTAATCGACTGCATGACGCAGTGATTACAGCTTTAGGTGATCCTTAATTCGTAGGTTGAGTCCACTGCAGGACGTGGAAACCAGTCTTTGGATGAGATTCTAGAAATCTCAGTATATATTAGGTTTTAACACAAAATTTCTCAATGGTCTTGAATGCCGATTATAAGTTTTAAATTGCTTTCCGCCACCTCGATGTTGTGGCTTCACCATAGTTGTAATTAAATCTTGATGATATAATTATTATGGATTAAAATGATAAAACTTGACTCTATTCATATTTTAAATCTACTTAATGTTTATTCACAATACCGGATTTCTAACATCATTATTACACTGTAAAGCACATTTCTTGTGTTCTGTTAAGCTTCTGATAAAAATACAGTGTTCCTTGCACGTAATCATGACCACTGAGTATTAGTAAGCAAGAATTAATTAACTTTGATAATCAAAGAAATTAATATATTTTTGTTAGAAATTTCTTCAAAGTCAGAAAAAATCGGGAAAAACATTTGGAAAAGCAACTACCGTGTACGCTGGAACATGTGCAGTATTTTGCTTGTTCATGTATTTCGAAGATCCACCAGTTTATCTCGACGTCGACATCCCTAGCGGGGAATTTGATACTGAAAAATACAGACCATATAAAAATACTGGAGGGGAATACAAATATCAAGTTTGGCCATGTCTTTACCTGCACAAAGGAGGACCAATTCTTGCAAAGGGGATTGCAGAAGGAAAATGAAATATTTAGATATACAACGTAATATATATTATAAATTGCATTTGAGAAATGGATACGCTATTTCAGATCAAATTTCTTTGACTTTCGTTTACATTGCATTTAATTTGTTATGTGTAATCAATCTCGTCGATAATATCACGCACACGATACATTTGTGACAGAGTATTGTGTAATCGCAACTGCTGTGTAATGAAGGTAACTGTGCGTGAAACTCACGCATTGTTTTGTAAATACAGTAATTATTACATTTATTTTTGAGAACTCACAAGTCATATTGCAATAGTTAATTCGTGTTAAGGGACTCCGACCCTCAGCCAGGAAGGACAACTCTTTAATTTATAATTTAATTCAAAAAGTCTTTAAATAAAGCTTGAACATTAAATCTTTTCATGCAACAATTTTTATTATATGCCTCTCAATGTGCTTCAAGGTTCTTTGATCTTCTCAGAAAGGCCTAATTAAAAGTAGTAATTTTTATCCTGAAAAAGCATTTTTAGATACCAATGTTTATTAACATGATATGAAATTAGAAGTGATTTATCGAGCTTTGCAAAGAATCTTGGAGCACATTGAGAGGCATATAATGAAAATTGTTGCATGAAAATATTTAATTTTCAAACTTCATTTAAAGACTTTTTTAATTAAATTATAAATTAAAGAGTTGTCCTTCCTGGCAGAGGGTCGGAGTCCCTTAACATTTATTTGACATCTAACAGAATATATTTCATCATAATTATTTATTCAATTTACATGATATTATATGTATGAGAAATAATTTTAATAACAATCTTTATTTTAGCTGTTTGTTACAATTAACTGACTAATAGTTTATTACAAATGTTATTAAATGTATACAATTGCTGACTTATGTTTTTCGTACTATTTCTTAAACCATCATTTACTTACTAGGACTTTTTTCCTGTCCTGATCAAGGCAAGGAAGGGGGGATATCCGGTTAACAACGGATCCTCACTCCTCCATGGCACATGATCACACTCTGATGTTTTTTAAAAAGGCCCATGTTTGCTATGCTCCTAAATTTGTATTGTTAAATTGACTTCCTGGGTTACTTAGATTTCGTTCAATATTTCCATATATTTCATACAAACTCATGAGAAGGTCAACCAGCTGCCTTTATGATAGAATACATTGTCTATGATTAAAATATAATTACATTTATAATCAAGTCTTAGACAAAAGACATGATACAATCAATATCGATTCTTCCAATTAGTACATTGGTGATATTTTTATTTTCATACTTAGATCAGACATATGATGTAAAAATAAAAAAGATATTCCTATACATCTGCCTATCTTCAGCATATACGTATTTTACTAAACTAATTAGAATGATGTATTTTATTGTTGTAAATGAAATTTATGGAGATAACGAACAGTATTTACGCTCAAACGTCCACTAAACAAAATAAATGCTGGAGCAAAAACAGACTTCTATAACTTCAGAGGTTTGATCGGATGCCAATTACATGTAGGAGTAATGAACAAGAAACATCAAGGTTCAGTGTTAAAGTATATAAAGAAATAACATTTGAAATCATTTTTACTGCAAAAGACACAAAGAGGCATTGTTGATGATATTATTTTATAGATTTTGTAAATCCTCTTCTTTCAAATATATAACTTCACATACAGTACAGCATCACCTACAGAAGTAGTGAATAAAAAGTCAATAAAATTCAAATCTATTTACGTGTAAATATGTATGTGACTTTGAAGTTAACATGCATTTAAATATTTACTTCTTTAAGGTCATCAACCAGAAATAATAGTTATTTGAAGACATATCTCGTTGATATTGTGGGAATAATTTATATATGTACAGGTTATGATATTGACAAAGTGATGAAAACGTGACGGAGTATGATTTCTTCTTCTCTTTTTAGCCCACCTGAGCCGAAAGCTCAAGTGAGTTTTTCTGATCAAAATTTGTCTCTTATCCGTCATTGTTGTTGTTGTTAACTTTTCACATTTTCGACTTCTTTTCAAGAACCACAGGCGAATTTAAACCAAACTTGGCACAATGTATCCTTAGGTAAAGGGCATTCAATTTTGTTCAAATGAAGGGCCACGCCCTTATCCAAGGCGAGATAATTCAGAAATAATGAAAATTTGATGGTATGTTTTTAAAAATCTTCTCAAGAACCACTGTGCCAGGAAAGTTGAAACTAAGAGGGAACCATCTTCACGTAGTGTAGATTCAAGTTTGTTCAAATCATGAGCCCTGGGTGTAGGGCGGGGCTTCAATGGCCGATCAAAGTTTTACATAGAAATATCTAGGATAATTCTTTTAAAATATTCTTCTCAAAAATAGGAAAGGCATGAATGATCATATTTTTAATGAAGCATCCTCAGGTAGTGGACATTCATTCAACATTGAATACAAGTTTTACATAGAAACATGCAGAAAAAATCTTGAGAATTTTTTTTTTCAAGAATAGAAAAGCCATGATTAGTCCTATTCATATGAAAGAATTCTCGGGTAGTGTAGATTCAATTTTGTTCCAGGCATGACCCCTGGCCGTAGAGTGGGGCCACAATGTACATGTAAGTTCAAATGTAAAGTCTTAAGGCAATAAAGCCACAGGTAGTCAAAGATATATGCAAACATCCTTCGTAAGGATAGATTCAAGTTTGTTCAAATCATACCCTCTCCCTTTTTAGGATTGGTTGGGACCACTTTTGGGTTTAAACTTTTCAATAATAAACTGATTTCTGCTTTTTTTCCTAGCCAAATTGCTCAGGCCCATGAGCCTCTTGTTTGATTTGGTATTGGTGCGCGTTATTTGAAATGATTGTAAAAAATGTCAGGGAATGAATTAAGTTATAAGAATCAGTTTCATATCCACGTTTCAATTGATTTCATATCTGTGACTCTATAAAATCAACAATTATTGAACAAATTATTTATTGCAGAAATCATAAAAAATAATTGAAAGAGAGTTCTAGAGATAAACGCTGATAAACAAAATCCATACACAATCATTTGCACATATACATTCACTGACTAAATATTTACGTAAGTATTGAGCATTAAGAAAAGCAGAAAATTGTATTCTTAAGACATGTTATGAAGAAACGGTACAGGAAAATGATGAATGGATTGTAAATATCAAAACAGAACTGGATAGATTAGGACTAAAGTCCTTGATGAATACAAATTATGATGATAAATATGTTACTAAACTTATTGATCAGAGAATGAAAGATATTTACATCTAAGAATTAAGATCAGAAATCGACAAAATGCCAAAAGCTAATTTGTACAAATATCTTACAGATACATGTACACATTGCCTCCAATATTACCTTAATAAACCTTTAAGTGCTAAAAATCGAGAAATAATTTCAAAGTTTAGGATGTCTGATCACAACTTATAAATTGAAAGGCGTAGATACACAAATACCAATAGAAATGACAGAAAATGCATATTGTGTACTCTAAATGAAATAGAGGATGAATTTCATCTAATTTTACAATGTCCAACATATGAAAATTTAAGGAATGAATATATTAAAAAATATTATTATCAAAATAGTACTGTATATAAATTAATACAATTACTAAGTGTTCAAAATGTAGGGGAATTAAGAGGTCTGGGGAATTTTTTAAGAGAAGCTTGTCATTTACGAGAAAGTAAAATAAATTTATTATAATAATGAGTATGTATAGATATGTACATTTAATAATGCTTGTGTAAATACATTGTAATATATGTTTACATGGCAAATAAGTATATTGTATGTAACTACTATATTAATCTGATGTATCTGCTGATACAAGGAATAAAGGAATTGAATTGAATTGAGCACGAGACTGATATGTACATGTATTTCTTTATTTCTAGAAATATATATTTTGATATTTTAAACATCAAAGAAAAAGTCGTTAAAAATCTAATTACTGTTTATCACAAAAAATCACGCTATTAGACGAGAACAGAATACTGCACGTGCTACTATACTGCTTATTAACAAGCGATAATTAGTCCGCTCTGCATTCTGTTATTAACTTTGCGCTCCATTTATTTTATTTTGATTTAATAAATAAAGAGAATGAAATGCGTGCTTTACAAACAACATTCCAATGAAGATTTCCAAAACACGTTTCTTAATGCACGATCACAAACAATTAAAACAGCATATGACTGAGTCTTATATATGCACGATCTAGCACGTTACACGAACCATCACGCACCTTACTTAGTACATGTACACGAACGATCGTACACAACTGGTTTGTCCTCAATAATGTTGCAGCCGCTAGCGCTGTAACATTAAAATTTTCACGGATTTGTCCATTCACCGGATCATGACTCAGGAACACACTGCGGATGTGACTGGTCGGCAGAAGTTTCTCAAACCATTTCTTTTCTTATTAAAATCAAAACTATATAATTGTGCAGGCCAAACATACTGTTCTGCACAACTTAGATATTTATGCCCCCTTTTCAGATAGTACTGTATTGTTCTATGATCCGTTGATTATAAATAACTTGTTTTTATTCAAATAAAAAACAACAACATAAAAGTCGAAGATTGATATACATTAACCAGTGTTCAAGACAATTTTACATAAACCCATAACCTTTCAAATCATATTTTTGTTTAGCTTTGTTTAGGTCACAGTCCTAGCCCCTCTTTCCTGAAACATATTGAGAATATATTATTCGTGGATAGATACTTGCAGACAGTTTGATTCTGACTGCACGAACCTACATTAATTTTATTGAACAACAACGTATGATTCAAACATTCCAATACTTAAACCCTGAAAAAATTAGGGCTGGGCAATAATATCGATATTTCAATATATTGCAATACAATGACAAAAATGTATCGCAATACGATGTTGTAATATCGATATATTGGCAATATGCTTAGATCAAGGAATTTTGTCATTAAATATAAAAATGGACTTATGAAAGTTTATTATTAAGCCAAACATTAAGACAGAAGTTGTTCTGTGGGAACATTTTAGTGCATTGCTAAAATGAAATCAACAAGATTTTTTTTCGTGTCGGTAACTTATCTTAATTATGTACATTCTGCATGTAAATTATAATAAATATAGTAAGAAAATGCCATTTTATTACATTGGAAATATTGCAATACATATAACAATACAGTTTAAAATATCGCAATATATCGCAATACGAAATCTCCAGCCAATACCCAGCCCTAGAAAAAATCTTATAAGATACAATTGTACTTTGTATTAATATGACTATGTATATATTCCTTTAAAAGAAAAGAAAAGAAACATTATGACATTATTTAAATACAATTTGATTTAAGAAGTTCAAGAAGTTATCTCAGTATACATACAGGGAAAATAAACTTATTATATCTAGTCAGATCAACAAAAGAGATTCAGTTCAGTAATTGTTTTAACTTAAAAGTTATATTCACACCGACTGTAAAATGTCATTGTCAATATCAATTTAATGAAATTAAAGTAGGATCATTGAACTATACTTTAAACAGATATATTATTCAATTAAAATCATTAAATAAATGTTCCACCATTTTTATAATTAAAATTTCATCACTGTTTTTCATTACATTTATTTACGTATATGAACACATATGCATAGAACTACGACACAATCCTACTAAACCTGTAATTTTAAACGTATGTGTCCACCAAAATTTAAATAAATCCTGATTTACAAGTCAAGTGTTTGAAGTTAAAAAAAACCAAATTGTCAAGCATAATTATGTGATCCTTGGCAGAAAATTGATATTTTTTAAAGATGGTTTTGTTGGTTGTTTTTAATAATACGTTTAATATCATCACAGTGATTAAGTCTCAAGTTTCCATTATAATTTCTGTCAATTATCAAAAACCGTCTATTTCAAATGTATGCAAAAATGTCATGCAAAATAGTACATTTGTTTACGTATTTGGAAATTTACATGGGAAAACCTGTGGATTTTACCTTCTTTATTTTTTTCCTTATGTGTGTGATGTATGGTATTAATAAATTTCAGACTTCAATATCTTTGAGAAGTATAATTATAATGAATATGCAATTTTAAGAATATCCGCGTTCTTTTGTTTATTATGTAAACACATTTATACCTATATTGACATGTTGATTAATGCACATAATCTAGTAATTGGTTTGTTCATTTAATAAATGTCCCAGATGATGGATAAATCTGCATATTTATTTCACTCAGGTTTTAAATCGAAAATAAAAATACCGATTGGTCAATTTTAAATCTAGATTTAAATAAAAGGCCGCCTCAATAACTCTGTATGATCAATCTGCAATCCTCGTCACAATGGGCAAAGTGTTGGCTGTTTTGATACTCCTTGTTTGTTTGCTTAGCGTAATTCATGGTAAGTTTTACATCGATCTGATTAATTTGTACATTTAAAAAATCATTTCATAATTATACGTTATATCCGTGACACTTTATTTTCGTGAAATACATGTAGTCATTGACTCTAGATAAGTGAGACAAAATTTTCAGAATTTCAATTTTGCCCTATATAATTGTAAGGAATACTATAATTATACGCAAAAAATTTAATTTTTGCGAGCATAACCTTTCGCGTAATAACGTTAAAATGAAGTTGTCACGAAGAAAAAAAATATTTACAGTAATGTGTTTGATAACAACAGAGTACTGTTCATTTCTTACATGAGTTTCATTTTTTTTCTTTTTATAATGAATGGAAAATAAATCACAGAAGAAACTAGATGCTGTCATGAGACAGTAATACCAACACTAAGGTGTTTGCCTATAAATAGGCAAGAAAAAGTCAAAATAATTGTATAATTTACATGTATTCATCAAATTGAGTCTGAAATTCTCAGACCCTGTGACCAATAACTCAGAACCTCTTATATTTATTCTATACATGCTTAATTCAATATATACCAGTCTGAAGTCTATTAATGATGTAAATTCATGCGCGGATCTGTCCGGGGGGGGGGTCAGGCCCCCCCCCTGGAATTTACAAGGTTAAAAAATGTATATACTAAAATAAGGAAAAAAGTTACAATAGACCCCCCCCCCTTGGAAAACACAGACCCCCCTGGTAAACACGAATATGTGTAAAATGGGTATGAAAAGTTAAAGATTTGAGGCAATAGAAGTCACCACTACCCCCCCCCCTCACACACACACACACACACACACACCTACGATATAGGTTTTTGACGTTTGGTGAGTTTTACTTTAGGTTTTTTTTTTTTGATTGTCAAGAAATTTCTGGGATAGGATTTTTTTTGACTGAGGTAGAACACCCCTGGAAAAAATTTCTGGATCCGCGCCTGAAATTAGATTTTGATATATGTTTTGCTCATAAAAGGACCTTTTTAAATTTAATAATCCCCCCCCCCCCCCGACTCGACACCACAATCACACAGCACATACTTTTTGGAATAGGCTAGATGGAAAAGGTTTGTTAAATATCGTTTGTTATTAATTAATTTAAAATTTGTTCTTGTACTATACATGTTAACATGTAAATTTCTACATCACATCACGTTGCGTCACCCATTATCATAATTTTAGATTAAACACCATTTGGCACACCTCGGCCGATTCCCACTTTATCTGATAAGGTGACAGAATCGACGAAGGTTTGTCGAATGGAATTAGCACATGGCTGCAGTCTGGTGTGCATTGGATTAATTTATTTTGTGTTATAATTGGATTTATATTTCATGAAGTTGACGAGACACAGGCAGTCGGTAAGTAGAAGCTTTAAGTATAGTGGGGGGTAAAATACACCCAAACAATTAGGTTAAAGTTCAAAAAGGGTCAAAGATCATCGCATGCCACACTAGACGAATTTTATATTGTGAAGTTATCTCCCGTTGTTTTTTTGGGAGTAGGGAGGGGGGTTCACATCTCAGTCAAAAAATTCCAACCCAGAATTTCCTAACAAGCAGGAGAAAAAAAAACTGAAAACAAATAAACAAATAAAAAAACAATGATAGTGAGGTCGATGTTTTTTAAGTTAGGGGGAGGATGTCTAGAGTCATTTTTATTTGCTTCAGTATATAGTCTTGTTTAAATAACAAAGCAAATTCCAGAGGGGGGGGATGGGGGATTCCAATCTCCCTATCCACTTCCTGTCCCTGAAATAACAATCTATTTTGTGATTCCAATTAAATAGTATATATTTGTTTTCCATTTGACTAATTATTATACATATTTTGTTTCTTGTGTTTATATTATGTCTGTCTAGAAGGAGTTCAGGGAAGACGGGACTTTTTGCACAAAAAACGCCATTTTTAGACCCCCATCTGACCCCCCGAGGCAAAATCAAAATTCCGAAACTTTACTGCACATCTACATGACACCACCAACCATCTCCCAAAAGATGATTAGGCTACTGTGTAAAATGTAGGAGGAGTTCAGGGAAGAAAAGTGTGACAGATAGACTGACGGACGGACATGAGTAACAATAATATACCCCAACTTTCTTTCAAAAATAAACTTTCGAAAAAAGGAGAAAAAAAAACTGAAAACAAATAAACAAATGAAAAAACAATGATAGTGAGGTCGATGTTTTTTAAGTTAGGGGGAGGATGTCTAGAGTCATTTTTATTTGCTTCAGTATATAGTCTTGTTTAAATAACAAAGCAAATTCCAGAGGGGGGGGGATGGGGGATTCCAATCTCCCTATCCACTTCCTGTCCCTGAAATAACAATCTATTTTGTGATTCCAATTAAATAGTATATATTTGTTTTCCATTTGACTAATTATTATACATATTTTGTTTCTTGTGTTTATATTATGTCTGTCTAGAAGGAGTTCAGGGAAGACGGGACTTTTTGCACAAAAAACGCCATTTTTAGACCCCCCTGACCCCCCCCCCCCGGGGCAAAATCAAAATTCCGAAACTTTACTGCACATCTACATGACACCACCAACCATCTCCCAAAAGATGATTAGGCTACTGTGTAAAATGTAGGAGGAGTTCAGGGAAGAAAAGTGTGACAGACTGACGGACGGACATGAGTAACAATAATATACCCCAACTTTCTTTCAAAAATAAACTTTCGGAAAATTTGGTGACACATGTAAACGATGGATAAAAATGCTGAAACTAATAATTGAAATTAATTTCTAGCGCGATATTATGGCCATGGTAATCAGTGCTACGGATATTGTGACCAGTACACGAATTGTGGTTTTAACGGATACTGCGACTTCAGATATGGTTACAGTGGATTATGCTGTATATGTAAGTTTAAAATGTTGGAAACAACACTTAATTATTTCTCAGTCAATGAATTTTTGTTCTTATGGTGACTTTTTTTTTCTTCTTTTTATGTTTTGATTGTTTCATTTCATTTTCAGCTGTATACCATTGAACATTTTCTTTTGAATACCTTTTAAATACTTTTAGTGTTCGGAAAAATCTTATGCATGTATCTTTTTTCTATTTTAGATGGGGGAGGTCGGCGCTATTGAGAAGAGTGAGAAGGCACACAGTGAGCTGCTTTATTGATGATATGCTGACAAAGCCATAAAAATGTCTCAAGTAGACAAATCAAAATCATGAAATATATTCAATTCAGAACTTTGTTTTTTTAGTCTTATGTATACTGCTGTTTCGATGCAATCGGTGGAACAGATCCATTTAATACAAACAGCTGTTTGATTGAATATTGACTTGACACATGTATGTATTCAAAAGAACAGGACCCTATTCTGAAAAAAAATATGGCAAATTTTAAGAAAATTTCAAGATATATCTAAAAATAAAATACCACCTTCATAAGATTAAATGATTTAAAGTGGAATGCCACATGTACACCAACTTTTTATTTTATAGATCTTTGAGTCATCCATTTTGAACAATGGTTTCAGAATTGAGAAGTTGATATAAGCTCTTTATTTTCTATTAATTGTTTTTTTTGTATTTTTTATAGAAAATGAAAAAATTATAAATAAGTTGTTTTTTAGTTAAAAGTTTGCTGTAAATGAATGCATCATATGAATATATAAGTAAATTTGTAAAGAAAGGCTGGTTGAACTTTTTAATTTTTTTTTTATAAAAAATATTTATGAAAATAAATCACTTTATTTGTAAATGTTTTTTTAAACATAAAACTAGTCACAGCTGAGGACAACATGTTTGTCAATCATATTTTAAAAAGATATTGAAACGAAATTGAGAAATTTTAGAGAAATCAATATTGTTAATCTTTGGACCTTACCCGATCAAAATTAAACTGATCTCGAACCAATCGGAACTCCTCGGATGTTTCGCGAACTCAACAATAACATTGTTGAGTTTGCGAAACATTCGAGGAGTTCCGATTGGATCTCGAACAAAATTAACACAAAATGAATAAATTGCTAATTTTTTGCCTTTTCGTGTATTTACAATGAAAAAATATATTTTATTGTCAAGTTCAATAATGTTTTAACCCTTATTACACAAAATCAGACTAGTGTTCTTGGGAATATGTTTTTTATTTCCAATAATTGTACAATTATGGTTCGGATCGGTTTAATTTTGATCGGGATTGGCCACAATGAAAAAAAAAGTTGTGACTGGTTTAAAGATAATTTTAACCACAAGTTTAAAAATTATTAACAAATTATGTGTTTTTTATTTGAACAAATACTTTTTATTTCAAAATTTTTAATCTATAAGGCTTTTCTTTACATATTGTATTCCGTATTTATGTGAAGCATCATTTACAGCAAAAGTTTAACAAGAAAGCATCTAATTTGGGTAAAGAATTTTTTTGAAATTTTCTGTGAAAAATTACAAAAAAATTCATATAAAATAATTTAGAGCTAATGTCGGCCTTTCAGTGCTGGATCTATCGTTTAAAAAGGTTGACTCAGAGATCTATAAAATAAAAAGTTGGTGTGACATTCCTCCTTAATGAATCAATGACTTAGAAACGTAGGATAATTTATGCAACACGGACTTAAATCGCGGCATATCCAGCAAACTGTATAGTAAATACTTATTCATATTTCCATATCAATGTAAGATAAAATTGTAAGTTTAGATTTTCAAATATTGTCTTATATGACAAGTGACCTCGATCAAATGTAAGTTTCAAAAGTCCCCATCCACAGATGTCAGGAGCAAAAACAGACACTCCAGATCTACACGCATACCGTATAAGTGGAAATTTTAGTGAGACGAATTGTCCTTAAATATTTTCTTTTATTTTTTAGCGATAAGCAATTTTATCGATTTGATTTTAAAATGTTCACTAAAGAAGCTTTTACAAATAAAACACAATATATGATAATTTTTAGCGATATTAAATTTTATAGATCTCGGCACTCTCACAAATAATGCCCAAATTAAATCGCTAATAATTCTGATTATACGGTATTTGGCTTTCATAACTTATTATCTTTCTCCTGGCAAAATTAACATTCTGGTTAAATTATCAAGAAATCAACTCACTTAATTTTTTACGAATTATGACAGAAAAAAAAAATAAAGAAAGAATTATAATCATATAAACTAACAATACGGTATTAATTTTATTTCCATTGAAATTACAATAATATATCAACGTGGACATAAATTTCAAATGAGAGAAAATTTTGGAATTCTTATTTGTTTGTAAAATGAGGATCATCACTATTGGAAGTTACTTTCTTTTATGTTTATAGAATAATATGTAGGCATTTATTCTAAATTCTTTCATCATATCTGGAGAAAGTAAATAATGTTCTTTTATAACATGTACTCATTACATCGAAAAAGGAAGCAACTATAACTTCTTGCGATCAACGATATTACGATGTAGGGGCCATAGATGTAACGGTACATGAAGAGAAAATCGATGGACATCTATTCGATTTAGGGGTCGTATTCAGCTTTCCTTTTCTGTGCATGTCAGACCAAAATTGTCGGGTCCCCTTATATGTCAAAAGGAGAACCTTTATGATATAAATAGTGCTAACGTTCATACTTAAAGAATTTACCCATTAGAATTTCAGTATGTAAATAAATGTATTGAGCTACCAATTCGGCCGATTAGTTAACATGCATATGTACATTTACTCCCTTTAACATGTGAACAAATCAAAAGGAATTTTATGTAGAATTTTGTACAAAATCATAAAGTTTTCTCCACTAAAAGTACCAAAAACTGACCATTTAAGGTTCAAATTAAATGTCAGCAGATATACCAATGATAAAGCAACTAGGTTGTTGCAAAACCAATTCTCATAAGACTTCGAAGTTGTCCAGCATTTACACGCAATAATATTCAAGTCATGAGTATATTGTGACGAAATTAATTACAAGATATGAAACATTTTCAAGATTCCCTTGAGTCGAAGAAGCAGCTAAATTTGATAACTATCATCCTCTTAATTTTTCGAAGAGAAACGTTCTATAATGTATCGAAATAGTACTTGATAGTATTGTATTTGATACTATGTACATTGGGAAATAAATATTTTCATATTCTCTTTAAGTTTCGTTTGCACGTAGTTTTTAAATTCCTCATTTTGTATATCCACTATTTTCCGATCATGACAAGGAGTAGATGGACGACAGGGAATGTTCACTCCATCATGGCACTTGATCCCACCTTTAATGTTTTAGAGGGCCGTGCTTGATCTGCTCCTGATCTTACTGTTGAATGGATTTTTTCCGCTAGAATACTTTATTTCATGTCTCTTTAGTGATTGCACAATATAAGTACAAATTCTTTATTTTATTAAGTTTAATTCTCTTAAACTACTAACACCAAAATACCGACCAGTGATTTTTATTAATCCTCTTAAATGATTATAACATTTACACTCTACATACGTATGCATGTATGCTTTGTATCTAAATTACTATTTAGTATATGTATATGTATTTTTAAGAGGAATTTTCTATTATTGATCAATATAAGACAGTTTTAACTTAAGGGGGCCGACTATAGTTTTCATTGCGCAATATTTCGCGCATCATAGTAAAATGAAGCGTATTTACTGTTTAATGCAACTTTTTTCGCTTAATCATTTAATTTAAACAAAATAAAGAAATTATAGGTATAAAAATGTAATTACAATTTGATAAAACTTTTTTTTAACGGATTTTGCAATTGATAAGTTATTTGACTTCATTGCAGTGTGTTTTTGACGTTATTATGATTTGTAGCTCTTAAAGAAAGGGGTAATAAAAATATTATTAAAGAAAAAGTAATAAACATACGCTCTTGAAATTTAAAACATAGAAATTTGAGAATATCTCCAATATTTTTATCATTCTTTCATGTGAATCTATAGTGTAAGTCATATTTTGTAATACTCTATAAAAAATAGTAAAATTTGCTAATTTTTTGCATTTTGAGATGCCGCCTCTGAAAACAAGACGGTAGGATTTTGTGTTTCTTATATATATCGTATTATATAGTATTACTCATTAAATATTATAGTTTGAACAAAATTTCTATTGTATTTTTTAAATAATTTGCTTTAAAGTGCTAAAATTGGCCTTTTTCTATATAATCCTATAGTAAATGTACCTGTATTTTGAGACGGTCCCTCAAAAATACGTGGACGGTAGATTTTCCCCAAACTTTGCATGTACACTGAAGTTAATGTAAGTTATATATGGTATAATTTTTTTTTTTAAGAGTTTCGCTATTGTAGTTTTCCCATACTAAAACTATAGACGGCCCGTTAAAAACTAATTGAGAAATGTCTTGAACTTTCTTGGAAAATGAAATTTTTTTTCATTCATTAGAATAGGATTGAGGATAAAAAGTTAAAATGCTATATTATATTAAAGTATGTTTAGAAGTGAATAGAATGAGATAAACGATTATCTAGCAAATATCTGAAAACCATCTAATTTCTAGAAATATAATTTGGAGGAAAAAATAAGTTAGGTTTCAGTTTCAATATATAGAAGTAAAAGCTGAAAAACAAATACATGTAACACCATTGTTTTCCGAAGAATTTTTTGTGGAGCTCGAATTCAATTTTGCAAGTAGTAATCATACTTAAACTCTAAGCTTCTTTTCCAAGGAGGACATTTTCAAAAGCATGTCATTTTTGATATTTAAAACATCTTTTACAACAAAATTGAATATAAATGGCACTCTATTGACAATTATTGAAGTGCAAAATTATAGTTAACGGAAAATCACAAAAGATACTAGTAAATAACATCAATAAGTCAAAATTATTGATAAAATCGGCAAATACATCTCTCTTATCGCAAACAACCATCAATGCTTAGTATTTTAAATTTTGACAGATAAAAAGTACACAAAGTTGTCAAAACAGGATGTCCTGCTTACCCAGGATTAACAAATAATGAGGGAGGTACATAGGAAAAAACTGTCAAATCTTTGATGAACTTATAAATAAGTTTGTCTAACAGGTGGTACTTGTAAACATGCATCTTTTTTTATTGTCATCCCACATTAGGTTACCATTCATCCCCGGTGGACAAGTCCTATTGTATAGTATTCTATTTGAACAAGTTATGTAACCATTACACGTTTGGCAACTTTGAAAATCCCCATCCGAAGTTGAACTGCAATCTTGCACACAAAGTGACGATGAATCTATAAAAAAAAAATATTATGAACACCAATAAAAGTAGAAAAAACTGACATGATAAATAAGCTGTAAGACAAATATGCTTTTATTGAAATTTTATACATACTTTTGGGGGAATTTGGGGTCTCTATCATTTTCGTCTTTAAAATGTTGAGGATACTTTTCATTTCGTTCATATCTAAAAAGAATGCCGAAAGAAAACTCGCATTGCTCTTCCGCCATGATGATTATGTTTAGGTACCATCAAATTTGTTTGTTAGAACATTTAACACGTAAGAAATCGACTTGAATACCTTCTTTTTGTTCCCGAAAGTATGACATCTCAGGAACTTTATCCGACAAAGAAGTGAGCTTGCTCGTTTCTTTATTATTCAAAGTCGTCAGGGAAATGAGAACAGCTATTCCGAGTGAAGTCAGTATCCACACAAGGTATTTACAGATCTTTTTGAGTGAACACCTTTTCTGTTTAAAAATAATTTTCATATTTTAGAGGTTTTATTAATAAAAACAAGATTGAGAGGATTTTTAGTTTAAAATGTATGATTTTATTCCCTCCAAAATCGCTAATTTATTTTAAGTTTTTTTTAAAAAGGACCAAGGTATTTGAAGGTTCTATCTTTACATACAGGAATAAGCATACATATAATTTAATAGTTTTGTTTTTAAAAAGTGAAAAACTTCGGTAAAAACCTTATGATATTCATTAAACATACGTCAATGAATACGCGTAAAAGTATAATTATACAAACCTTTGTTTTCTCTACAACTTCTCCATCAGGTATTTGATGTACATATCTTGGTATCTGTAAAAATGTTTTATTTAACCGCTGTTATCTTCATTTCCATGAATCAAACAGAAAAAAATGATGAAATGGAAATTATTTATTTCATACATACATGTATACACACCTCTGGAATATAATCGTTCTCATCATTTCCCCTATCATATCCTGGAATTCGATTCTACAAAATTTGAACGTTTGTTTCTATTATGAAGTTTTTAATTTAAATTAAACAGTGCGACATTTAACTCCGGACACGACATTTGTCCGGACTTTCGCCAACCACTTTTCCAAAGGTACATAGAAAAAATTTATGTCATCCGGTGGGATTTTTTTAATCGCACAACATGGACTAACCTTTACACCTGAATATCTTCCAGTTTAAAAGATATTACACCTGAAATCAAGAAATCCCATGGGATTATGGTGGGATTTTCTCTCCTAACCAATATCCCACCATTATTCTGTGGGAGAAAAGGGTATTCTGTGGGATTTTTTCTCCCATAGAAGTTTAAAAATCCCATAAATGCTTTATAATGGGACAAAATCTCCCATATTTTTGTATACAGAAAATAATCTCCCATCTCTTTATAAATGTGGGATTTATCCCATTTTTATTTCAAAATAGAAAAAAATTCTCCCATGGGATTAAGAAACAACAGTTTTAAACCAAATAAAGAAAATATTGAACAGTTTAACTACCATTAATTATTTATTTTCATTTAAGTTTCTGTGTTTCCTACACCATTTTTTTATTTCTTAAAATTAACCAATTTGGGGGGCAGTGGGGTAATGTTTTATTTTTCAAATGATTAAATATTTTACATGAAATAGCACTAAAAATCAAAAGTGGTTTAATTATCTCTATAATTTTCAGTTTTTTAAAACTAAAAAGACAATTTCCTTGTATGTAGATTACCTTCTTTTATTCCTTGTTTGTAAACTTTTAGTGAGAAAAAAAATGCAATTAAGAAAGAACAAATCTTTTTTGTTTATTTTCCTCCTAATCATTAAAGTTAATTTATTGTGTAAGTGTCATTTAATTGTCAAGCTTTACAACAAGATCAGATCCATATACGTTGTTAGATCTTTGCCTGTTTGCTGCACTAAACTGATGGGTTTCCAAGTAAAAAATCACATGAAATTTGGGCGTGTCATTCACTCTGAGATTCTCAAAGAGTTTTAAAACTTATTCAGATGAACAAACTGTAATAATTTACCTATTTTTTACTCTAAATTTTCTTTGTTTTTGTTCCAATGACAGCTGGAAATTATTTTACACATAACGAACCCGATCTGACAAATGAACAAGAAATAATGTTGAAAAAAAAATCAACCGTCTTCATTACGCACATTTACTGGTAGTTTGCATTAAAAATATTTAACAATTTTACCTTTTCACTAATTTCAAAACATTTTACCTACACCTTAATTAGAAACATTTCCATAATTTTTGACAGTTCATTGAACCCGTTCAGTGGCGGATTTAAGGGGGGGCGCACCCGGCGCGCGCCCCCCCTAAAATTGTCAAAGTTAGCGTAAATCAAATATGTCTACTTGGTAGACCTCATTTTCACCCTTCAAAATCTCTAGAATCCAGGAGCTTCCGGGGGCTTCGCCCCCTGGGCCCCCACCAGGGCTTTGGTAGACCTCATTTTTACCCTTCAAAATCTCTAGAATCCAGGAGCTTCCGGGGGCTTCGCCCCCTGGGCCCCCACCAGGGCTTTGCCCTGGACCCACTGGGGGCCTCAAAGCGGCCCCCAGACCCCTTGCCTAATTTTGGCGCCCCCCCCCCAACTCCAAATCCTGGATCCGCGCCTGCCGTTCAAAAATAAACATGATGAAAGGGCATGGATCCAAAAATTGCGGTGGTACTCTACTCAGTGTTTCTTATCATCCAGTAGAAGACAAGTTTTCCTTAGTTCTGTTACCATGGTTACTTCTTTAATAAAAGCTCTCTGTTGATCTTTTACTTATTATTTTTGGTACATAAAATAACTATATGCACCATTGACATGGATTCAACTGATAAGTCACCTTAGGCCATTGCAAGTTTCTTCTTTGTTTAACATATGTATGCACCTTGATTTTGGACACCCCAAAACATATAAAATAAGAGATTCAGGCCACAGTTAGTTAAAGCTCACTGTTAATACTAGCGCGGATGCAAATATAGCAGAATGATATTGGGTATTAAACTTTTACTTCAGCAATCTACATGTAATTTAAATAAGATGTTAGACCCGCACGCATACTCGCTAAACTTACTGTAGTGACTATGTGAGCAGATCTAACATCTAATTTTAATTAGATTGGTACTTCAGTGGCTTAAATTTATTCAGCTTCTTTCAGGAATTCAATTTTCTTGTAATAAATGCATATTGTCAATTATTATGCTTCCTGTCAGTTTGTCTCTGTGACATAACCCATATACCATACTATTCTTGCATTATGTTCTTAGGATTTAAATACACTGTAGCATAAACATACTATGCCGAAATAGTGCTCGACTATGGGTGGCACTGCACATGTAGCTCTCCCGTCTGTCAATATATATTATTTCGGAGAGCTACATTCTGCAGTACTTAACACTTCAGATGAAAAATTAACATTCAAAATAATTCTTTTGAAATAGTTTCTTGCAATCCCCCCCTTCAGTCAAATACTCTTCTCTAATTAAAATTATCTGTACATTATACCTAAAGCATGGAAAGTTCAAAATTAAAGAAAAAGATTATGACGCACGTTGCACAAGGTGACATTATAATAGGGATGCATAATAATAACATTAGTGTAGTATTTTGCATGTACTATATGCCTACATGTATTATAGTAGTCAGGGTTTGACACATAGTGAACTCGCACCATGTGTCAAACCCTGACTACATTTTTCTTTTTAATGAAATATAGTTAATTAACAAGGCTTTCTTTTCATTCAATTCATGGAGTCCTTGGCGTGAATGAAACATTAAGTCTTATATGGTTGTTAGACTTGTTACTGGAGTATTTATTTTTTTTATTAACACATACTTTAACATCTAAAATAATCTTTGTTGTAATATTTGAGTTCATAGTATGATATCATCATAATTGTTTTAAATGGGTAGGGGTGTTTTCAAACATTCATAAATAAATCAATATAGAGAAAGTTTGTATTACTTCTATTTAAATTCAAAATTGTCTCAAAACCCCAACACAGGCAAAGTTTGACATCTGGGTAATTCACTGTGTATTAAACCACTTCCTGTGTATAGGAATTAGGAGACAGATGGCCACAGGTAGACTGGTAGCCCCCAAGGCATTCACACCTGTACAAAATAAGCCCCTCCCTCACCTGGAATTTACCACCCGGTAAAAAATCTCTGCCTTTAGGCATAGTGCATGCAAAATAAAACACTATTAAATAAATATGCACACTTCATGAATTCCCTAGTTCATTTAATAAAGGTACACATCCCTTCATTTTACATTTAAGGAAATATGCAAGGTATCTTACCTATACTGATAATTTTTCAAGAAATTCTATATCTAAACTTATAATACATGTACCATATTACATATTTTTAGACAAAAAATCAGCATGCATTTCCAGGGATTTTGAAAAGATATTGTAACGGGGTGGGGAGCAGGCGGACGGCACCTCTCCTACTACTGCTGCTGGGACCGCCGTCTCCCTCACTCTATCTATAGGGGCTGTCTTATCTTTCGTGGCAAGGCTTGCGTTACACAGCTCAACCCGAGCTCAGGAGGAATAATATGGCGCAGTGGTTCAAAACTCAATACTCTTTAATCGTTTTCCACAACACACTAAATTATCTCCCTTTAATCAATGAACTCAGATAAAACACCACTGCCCAAAACCTAAACCTCCTTTTATTAACCCGCGCTCTCTAAGTTACACTAAATTTATAAATACACGAAATCTCTCAGCTTTTCTTCTCTATTTGTCGAGCTCGTTACAACCTAGACCTACGGAAGTCACTAAAATTCTTAAATTATCATTACTCTGTTCTTACTCTTTTATATCTCACAATTTCCATCTTGTTGGAAAATCACACTTTGATAAAACCTTGTAAATCTCTGTACTTGAAATGAGACAAAATACAGTTTTACAATTTATTATAATAATTATCTCTCAATTAAACAATCAACAAATTCTAAACTCTGTCTCAGTCTGTCTATGTCACCTATTTGTCCTAACCTATCTGTCTAAAACCAACTTCAATGCAACTCACAAAACTCCTAACTCTCAAAACTTCCTCCCAGACCTCCTGGATGAAAGTAAAAACCAATAACTAAAACTTAATCCCTTAGACCTAATTAATTCCTAAGAAATTTCAAACACCAGTAATTCCTGCAAATTTCCTAAGTCTGAATTTCAGTTAAAAACAGTAGCAAAATTTAGAAATACACTAGCTTCCTTAGCTAAATGTATAAATTACCTAAACAATTTCAAGTAAATCTAAAATTTAACAACAATTTACCAAAAATTCAAACAATCATCAAATTTTGACCAAGTCCAATTCTCAGCTAAAATTCACTAAAACCTGACCAAAATTTCCTATAAAATTCCACAAATATTCCAAAAGTTCCTAAAAATCCTTAAAATAATCCTGACTCTTCTAAAACTAAAACTAAAAAGTTATTATTAAATCTAAATCAAAACGCCCAACCCATACTAACTCCTTACCCTAAAACACGACTTCTCTAAACAAACCAACCTAGCAGAAGAGCAAAAATTCCTTGAATCTCTCTCTTTTATACAAGAACATGACGTAAATGTTGGAAACTGTTGGACTCATTGGAAAACGTTGGAGAATCTCTCGTGACATTTCCCGTAAGCAGCAAAGTCTATAGAAAATCTAATAACTACACACAAGACAACTTTTCTGAATGAAAGTAATCTCCAAATACATTCTTCAATTAGAATAAGTCAATTAATCTCCATTTAAATCAACAAATAACACAATTAACTCCAAAAATCCGAAAACTATCGTAACTTTAACGATCGGGCTCAACCTACGCAATTTACGACCGCCAAGTTCGTAAACAAATCTACCAGTCTATAAACTGCCGATAATTAACTGAAAACAAGTTAAACTTCAAGAAAACATGATTTCATCTATAAATCTATGGTTCATCTACTACAGAAGACCAATTAAAGTACCTGAAACATGAAGT